TGGGACTCCCCTGCAGCCCGTGGTGAGCCAGCAGTGGCCTGCCTGCTGCCCGTGAGAGAAATGGCGGAGCAGAGATCCACCCAGAACCTGTGGAGAACCCCACGCTGGAGCAGAGATGCCAGTGCCTAAGGGAGCTTGTAGAGGACTGTCTCTGTGGGAAGGACTCCCCACACTGTAGGAGACTGATGATGGAGCAGAGAGGCATCTGCAGTCTGTGGAGGACCCCACACCAGAGCAGGTGGCTGTGCCCTAAGAAGCTGAGACTCTGTGGGAAAAGCCCGTGCTGGAACAGTCTGACGGGTAGGGACTGGATTCCGTGGGAAGGACTGATATCAGGGAAATTTGTGGAGAACTGTCCCCCATGAGAAGGGACCCCACTCAGGAGCAGGGGAAGAGTGTGAGGGGAGTCTTTCCCCTGAGGATGAAGAAGCAGCAGAAACAGCATGTGACAATCTGACTGGAACCCCCATTCCCTGTCCCCCCGTGCCTCTGTAGGGGAGAAGGTAGAGTCGGGAAGAAAGGAGGGTGAGGGGAAGGTATTTTTAAGATCTGGCTTTATTTCTCATTATCCTCTCTGAATATGACTGGTAACGAATTAAACTGACTTGTCCCCAAGCCAAGTCTGTTTTGCCCGTGGCTGTGATTGGTGGGCGATCCCTCCCTGTTCTTATCCTGACCCTCAAAGGCCTTTTGTTATATTTTCTCCTCTTCATCCCATTGGGAGGGAGGAGCGAGCAAGCGGCTGTGTGGTGCTTAGCTGCCGTCTGGGGCTAAACCACAACAGGATCATCCAGATCTCACACAGTCATTGCTTTTTTCCGAACTGCAGGCATGCACTAATCATGTAGCATGTTCCAGTTTTCCTCTTGGTTCAGTATTCTTAATTTCACAAGCTGAAAATCAAAAATAGACATTGATGTTTTAGCTGCCACTTGTGTCTGCCTGGCCTCCAAAATGCCCAGGAAGAAGTTACATGTTCTAAAGCATTCTGCTTTACTGTAATAGGTTTGGAAAACCAAATCAGCAAAGATACTGTTACCATTTTTCTAGGTGCTGCTATCATCCTGCCAAGAAATGGAGGGGTCACATGAGAATTTTCATACCTCTGTTGACATGGCAACATGCATAACTGAACTCCAGATTGCCTCCAAATATATCTACCCTGGGCAATGGAGCATGACACCGATACCCCTGAATTAAAACCTTCCTGAGGCGGTACAACCACATCACCCAGTGAAGTGCTGCAAAGATTCTACTTCAGGTTTGGAGCCAGCATAGCTGCTTCACAACTCATACTGCTCATGAGTAAACGCTCACTGACTCCACAAGCACTGCCTTCTCCTGCAGCTGTGTGTCACCTCGATGCTGTTAGATCACTTCTGTTTCCATAGCTCGTCCGGCCAACAGCATCTCCAAGCCCCCTGTCACATGTTCACTTATGCAGACACATTCTTGCATGGGACCTTCTGAAGGGAGGAGTTCACCCTGCCTCAAAACAATGAATTAACCCAGCACCAGTAGTAGAAAATGGTCACTTTCCTGGCTCACTGATTTGGAGAGATCATCTTTAGTAAAAGACTTTCTGCTATTAATTGTCAGTAATTTCTATCTAATGGCTGTCAACAAAGAATTTCCATGTTCTGGATAAGTTTAAGGACTTGAACGCTACAGATTCGAGCGCCTCCATATAACACTGGACTTCAATCACCAGTTGTGCAAACTTGGGTCATAAGACACTTCTGCCTTCGTTTCTCCTACAGCATGCTAAAATACACGGTGTCAGTTGTGACTGAATTTGAATATTGTCTACTGATCAAAATTATTATAAAATAAAGGTGGTTTATGTGACAGTAAAAAAAAACCAACAACAAACAACAAAAAATATTTACCTCCAGTAGGTCATTTTGTTCCTTAGTAATTTTTTCTAATTTCTTCAATTCTCTCAGGAGTTGTCTTGCTCTTTGGAAGACTGAGAAGGGTTGCGTTTTCACCCCTGGGAGCTGAAGCACTTCTTCATAGGACTGTATATGAACAACGGTCTTCTGCATGGGACCAATATGGTCAAGTATAACCTATCAGGATATAGAATAGATGATGGATGTGGTACTGAATTGGAAAAATCAACACTGAAAATTAATAGTGCTGTCACGATGTGCAGAGGTTCTCTTTGGTGAGTTTCCCATTTAAGAAGGAAGACTATTTTAATGTTGGAACAAATAAGCTAAAATCTATGGTGAGGTTGTCTAAAGCAAGATGAAGATACAATTTACATTTACAATTCTTTTTCTGCATAGACATACATAAAATTCGCACAGTGACAAAAAAGGGTCACATTCAGATTAGTTACTATTTTACCAAGCGTGTCATTTCAAAGTAGCGCATCTTTGGCAGTGCAGACAGTTAAAAACTGGTGCAAACCTTTTGATGTCACTCTAGCCAACTCTGGTGTTTCTTTTTTTGTGGTGCAAACCAGTGACAACATGTTCTATGTTAAAGCTAGCCATTTTATGATGGTCCTATAAACAGTCTTATCAACATAGCTGTTTTAGGTAGGTTTGAGGATTCGGCAAGGAGAGAGGCACACGTGGTAAGGCTCAACACCAGCACTATTTAGTAGTCAGCAAAATCACTCATTCCCTCTTATATTCCAATTGCTTCGTCTGTCTCCAGCTGTTTCCCTCGCGGGAGAACAGAACCGCAGGTCGAGACTCCGCACTCGCTTCGTACTGTAAGTACGACTCGGTCACTCACACACAGGACAGAATATTCCAAGAGTCGAGGGTCACACTGGTTACACGTGTTATATACGGATATATGGATGTGTACATGTGTGTACCTAGAAATCCTACAATCAGTTTGCCCACATGCTGTTCTTACCCAAATCACTCACAGACCTGCCAGCACTACCACTCCTGATGTCGTGACCACGGTCGACCCTTGGATATTGTTGCGCTCCGGGGTGGAGGCTGACAGGCACTCCACATGGCAGGCATCCCTGCAGAGACTCCGATGATGGAGTGCGTCTCAACCTGTACCCCTGTGCGGGCTGTGGTACACCCTTCGTCCCTCCACATGGGGCCACCACGTGGCAGCAGGAGTGGGACAACACTCCGCCTTTTTTGTTAATTAAGGGCCCACCATCGCGCCTGCGCACGGCAGCTGGGGGGTCACCCGGTGGTCTGCCTTCCTCACTAAGTCTTCCTCTTCTCGCATCTCGCACATTCGCTTTCTCTTTGTCTGCCAAAAGTTCCGAATTTCTGCTCACTCAGTTCTACAAAGTCCCAGTCCTGCTCCATCAGTTCTGAAACATTGTACCCAGTCCATCCGCTGAGCCATAGTCCCATCTTTGTTCTACCAGCTCTGGAACCCTGTGTCCCATCCCGCTGCACACAAGGTTTTCCTCTTCTCACTTTCCATGTTGCAACTGGCAAATCACCAGTTGCAAACTGGCTGAGAAAGCAAACTCCAACAGCCGATCAGTGCAGCATTACTTAATCAATGGAAAGTCATTCAATCAGTGGACCCAAATGACATTCGTGCATCAACTTTTTTATGCTCCCCTACAATAGCTGAGATGATGAACCACGCAGAAGATAAGAGAAACATCTGAAGATGGCTTTCTTTCAAAGACAGCATTTCAAATCACAACACCCCAAGTGAACGTACAGTTTACAACCACCTTTATCAGTTTCAGATGAACAGAAATGTGCAGTTTCATACCACAACACATGTTTTATGGAAGACTTGGTCATCAAGTTAGGAAAGACAGAATGGTAATACCAACTCACAACTTACTGGTTCTCTTAAAGAAATACGAAATCCTACTGAGATCTCACTCAAATGGGAATTTCAGAAGAAAAATAAATAAATACAAAACACCTCCGGACCCATTAATTACTAATATTTTTGTTAAATTCCTTCTCAAGAAGATTGCATTGTAAAAGGTCCCAGTTGAAGTAGAGATGCTTATTTTCTCATTCATAAGCAGCCTGAATCAGGAATTTTGTTGTTATTAGCATACTATCCAGGCTGCAATTTAAAACAAGGAAGCAGATGAACGCTATTTTCCAGAAGAAATATTACTTTAGTTTTTCCATATGATGTAGCCACTACAAAATCATTCTCTGGATAACAAAGCCATGAGAGGTATGACGACATTTTTATCTCTCTCCTGAAATTGAACCATGCTTTTTGCATTTCAGTCAGCTAACAATGTGGCCTGCATGTGGTATAAAAGAAAAGATACCACAATGCTTTGCTATACTTCACTCAAGCAAAGAAAGGAAAACCATCTGGCCAAGGTGTCTTTGCAGTGAAGTCCCTGCATGATGAAACGGCTTTACAGTAAGTCATTCCAGCCTATGTTTCCAGAAACATCTGCTAAATTTTGCCTCCGTTTATGGGAAAATAGGGCCTCATTTTCAGACTTTCAGATTACTCACTGCTTGATGCCAAGTGGAGAGACGTGCAGTGAGCATTTTTGACAATTAGGCCATAAACTTTCCAAAAATGGAGACACTCAAATACGGCAGGTATGTCTGAACATGCACGTAAGTTACATACTCAGGTTCTCCATGGGCATGTTCTCAATAGTGCTTTAATCTCAAATGTTTCAGTTCAGACAAGAACTGTGCTCCTTGAAGAAATCTCCCAACAGTCCCACCTTAGGGTTTACATTACGCAGTTGTCTTGGACCATGCAAACTGAATTCCTTTCAAATGAAACTAAAGAGGATCTTCTCCCAGAAGAGCCTCTGAAGAGACCCAGCCACTAATGGATGTCCATTCTATAGGACCACTCCAAAGTAAGCCTCCAAGACCCATAAGACATAGACATCAGGTCCTCCGCACCAAATGATTGCACTACTTGCCGCATTAGAAACATGTAGCTGAAATCATGGCTGAAGCAATATTTTCAATCTCTGACCAGAGAGTTAGCATTTGTGTGATACTAACATTTCAAAGTCATACGCTAAAAATTTGTTCATGGTAGCTTGCAGCCACAAAACAGCTTTACACCTAATCAGCATATTTATGCTGATTAATGCATACATACATAGGGAAAAAAAGCCTATACGCAGGAGTATTCACAGACCTGTCCATGTTTAAGTTGGTCTTTAGGAGAAAATTCTAACAGATCCTCTGATGACAGGATTGTCTTCATTTTGGCAATATCCTTCTCAAACACTTTCACATGAGATTCAATGGCACCCAGTTCCTAGGATTTGTGAATAAAGAGAATATTTGTTGATAGTACAGTTTAGAAACTCCCTCCAAAAAACAAAGCCAGCTTGCATTTCTGCCTTTCACGTAAATTTAAAAATACTGAACAACAAGTGCAGCATATGCAGGTCATGTTAACGGATGACTGACAACTGAAAGGCTAGTTATTATAAACCATGTACCGTCATAACTTCTGGACGTCACCTGGTCTGTTTTAAACCCTGAATACAAGATTGAAATATGCTTGAAAAGTCACATTATAAATAACCAGTAGTGACAAGACACTTTTCCAGTGGTGATATTTATTTATCAGCATAGGAAACTGATCTAATTACACTGTTGGAGCTTCCTATATGAAAAGTCTTATGTCAGATGGAAAATGGCTTCTCATATAGTACAGCCGCTTGTGAACTCTCATGGAGACAGAGTCAGAGAATAAATTAGGTTGGAAAGCATCTCAGGAGGTCTCTGGTGCCCCTCAGAGAAAGTTGTTTGGGTCTTGATCCTGTTGAGATTTGGGTATCTCCTGGGATGGGGATTTTATCCACCCTTTGAGCCTTTGATCTAGGGTTTGACCAACCTTACTGCAAAAAAAACCACTTCCTAATATGTAGATGGAATTTCCTTTATTATAATCTGGATCTGTTGCTGCTCATCTTTTCTCTGCACACTCCAAGAAGAGTCTGGCTCCATCTGGTTCATAGTCTCCCATTATGTAGCAGTAGACAGCACTAATACCCACACCCACCGCCGAGCTGTCTCTTCTCCAGGCTGAACTGACCCAGGTTTCCCCGACTTTCCTCCTACATCCTGTGCTACAGGCCCCCAACTACCTTGGTGGCCTTCCTGGACTCGCTCTAGGTATGTCTATGTCTTTCTTACACTGGGAAACCTAAAATCAAGCACAGCACCCACATATGATCTTACAGGTGCCAAAAAGAAAGACTGCTCCCACAGACGTCCTGGCTACACTCTTACTCAGGCAGCCCAAGATGCTGTTGGCCTTCTTGTTGCCAGGCCATGCTGTTGTGTCATGATCAACTTGATGTCCATCAGGACCACCAACCCTTTTGGCAAAGCTGCTTTCCAGCTGGCTGGCCCCGAGCCTGTATTGGTATTTGGACGTGTTCCCTCCTGGGTGCAGGATTGGGTGCGTTTTCCTCTGTTGAATCTCAGGAGATTTCTGTCGGCCCATTTCTCCAGCCTGTCCAGGTGCCTCTGAGACCTACCCTCCAGCAAGATAAGCTCTTTCAGTTTGCCAGTCAACAAGCCCTGCATTTCTCCTCCTAAACAAGGAGTTTCATCAATACTTCTCAACTTTATGGCTTAATTAGACACCAAACACCTTTTGACTGTTTCTAAACAATTAATTTCCTCCCTTAGCACAAGTACTAAAACCAGCACATCTTTTTTCTATGCAGGCAATATAAGCTGTATTTCATAATACATGATGAAGCTCTGATAAAAGGCACTTATAGATCACTCGAACTTACATCAGCCACATGCTGGATCTGTGGAAGAATCTCTGCTATCTCATGCTGTAGAGTTGCCACTTGATCATCTATTTCATTTAGCTGCTGCGTTACACCGTCTGTTTCAAAGACTGGTGTTAGCTCCTCCAGCTCCATGTAAACACTGTGTAGAAGATTTTGCTTTTGCTCTGAGTCTTCCAAAGCCATCTGGAGACAAAATAAGAGCTTAGTTTGATTCATCAATGGTGAACAGGAAAGTTTCACAAAGGTTAGGACCGAAGGAGTCGGTTTTAATTTCCTGTATGTCATTGACCATTGCATATATTCCCAAAAGCTTAGTTCACACTAAAACATTTAATTCCTGAGGGAACCGAACTGCTGCATCCTGCAGGCAGGAAACTGAGAGACAGATGCCATGATTCTAAAGGAATCAAGAAGATAAAATTAAGTCTACATGAGCATGACAAAAGGCATGAAGAGGAAGATGTCAAACTCAGAGAAAGGTCCCACCCCAAAAAAGGGAAAGTATGGGATCCTGGAGAAGACTCCTCTTCAGCTCCTGTGCCACAGTCAGGCTGACCCCAAGTACATGAACAAGACATGTCAGCAAGGCACCTGAAAAAGGGTTTTCTGCACACCAGCTTGCAGACAGCAGATGTAACAAAATGCTCCAGAAAACATCTGGCCAGTTGTGCACAATGGGAAGATCCTCCCCATCTCCTGCAGTTAACTGGATGAGCTTTTGGATTAATTACAGCAAATGTCTTCATGAAGAACAGTGAGGGTTGCAAGAAACGCACGTGATCCACTGAAGGAAAGGACTGAATCCATGTCTCAACTTTAATGCAAGCCTTGAGCACATTTCCAAATCCACTAGCTTCCCAGCCCACAACACATAAACCACTCCAAATCCCAAAAGCAGAGACAATGAGCTTTTGTCACAAAAATGCTCACATATTTTGGAAATCACAATCTCCCCATTGTGGCTACATGCTCTGTAATGTATCAGTCTAGAAGAGCTACTTCTTGCAAGGAATTCTTACTAGTTTTAATACAAAAACCTATGTTCAGAGCACCAACTTTCTTGGCCTAAGCCGAGGAGTACATGTATAGAAAACTCAAATTTCAAATATGCAAATCCTCTTGGCACTTGCCTGGCCCTGATCTTCCCTGTAATATTACAAACATTTGATTCTTGAAATTACCAACCAGGATTACCCTCAAGACACAGTGGGAACTGCCCTCCAAACCACAATTCAGAGTTTCCATCTAACACACAGACATCAAAACACCACTTAACCCTTTCTGGATCACGTACACACAATACGGAAAGAAGCATATCTATGCCGGCAGTAAAAGCTGACTATGGCCACACAGTAGGATAACAAGACAACCACGCATTTTTGGAAGAAAGTTGTACTACAGTTTAGCGCTTTCACAAGACAGATATGTCCAACACCACAAAGTATCTATCTATATTTCATGAGAGTTAATTATAACTATTTTCCACTTAAAGGATTTATTGAAAATGGCAAATTATTTACGTCAGTAAGACAAGAATGCAAAATTGTGTCTGTACAGAGCAACCAGTTCTAACAAGACCATATATCTGCATTAACACTTACCTGAAGGTCATCAGTATGTTTGCGTAAGCTTTTTGCAGAGTCATTGTGAGCATCTGCTCTTAGCAAACAGTGGGTGTTTTCTATCCAAACTTTCATATTCTTCAAGAGTTCATCATATTCTTCCATCTTGTTCGCAGCCTAGGAAATGACAGGATTTTACAAAAAGGCACAAATGCATTTCCATTCACTGCATAGGATAAATGCATCTATGGACAAAATTAAAATAAAACTGGATGCATTTTCATCAAGGTCAGTTAAATTAGTATGGTGAAATGAAGACTGTAATTTTTCTGAAACAGTTTCATGATTTCAGGCTATCTGCTCTAATCAAAGGTAATTTTGGTGCTTAAATTTCACGGGCCATTGTCATGATTTATATGGCAATGTTACTTAAATAGACAGCCCATTAGCAGAGTCATAGAGAACCATCTCCTCACCCAGCCAGGGGCATGAATTCCCCACACTGATCTGCATTAACCATGGTGCAGAGCCAGTCCTTTGGGGTAGCATCTAGAGGCGACGTTTACCACTCCAGAAACTCTTAGCTACAACAAGCCAATGCACCTACAGCAGGTTTTTGACTCTCCATTCATCTGACAGCCTTTGATGATGTTCTGTGCAAAGCCTTTATTTTGTTTTTTATAAGATGCGATTCTTTTTAAACTTTTATACTTGCATCTACCTTGTTTAAAATGGCAGTTCTGTGCTCGGCGAGTTGTGAGACCTGTTGGTACTGCTGCAGGGGGGTTACTAAGATATCCATCAGCTCCTGTGCATGGCAGGAATCCCGCTCTACTATATCATGCACTTCTGCATCCAGTTCATTGAGTTTGTAATGCCAAAGGTCCAGCATATCCCAGATTTGCTGCATGTGGAGAGAGGGGAAATAAAATATAAGGTCAGGCTCACAGATAACAGCAGAGTTATTTGTTCTTCACGTGGGGCATGTGCAATCGCAAAGATTTTGGAACTGATACGATGAGAACAGAACACTCTGCATCTACCACTGTGATTCACAGTTGGAAAAAAACCACTGCATTTTCCTGTGAGAAAGAATTGGTAAATATTCACCAGCTAAATGCTTGCTTGTATTTCTCCTTTCACAGACGTAAAATGATTGGAGGGCCACTTTACGCTCCTGCTAAATCAGGCTGTGTAGAAACAACCAAAAATCTTTTAACACCCACGAAATTTCTTTAGCAAGATTACCTTCTGAACTTCTTTGGCTTTTGAAATGTTTTCACTCTTCTGTTGTAACATCTTCTCAATAGCTTGAAGGCCATTGTGAATAGTTTCTGCTTTTCTTTTCAGCACATACTGGGGAGAGCTCTGCAAGATTTCAAAGCTAACCTGTCAAGAGTAAAGAGAAAACGATAGGGGAAATTACAAAGATCTGCTTGTTTCTATGCACCACCACACCAAAATATTCAAATTCTTTTTGTGTTTCTCTTGACGAGTCACTTAAAAACACAGGAATGAAACCACGTTCACAGGGAGAAGCGTTAACATGAGCAGGTGCAACATCTCCATGTTGTTCAGTAATTTCTTCTCACTTAAAAATGACCAGTTAAGAAATGCAATCCCTGAAGAAAAAAGCAACAAGACACTGCAACTCAGCTGCCCCTGCTCTAATCTGTAACAGAGGCTAATCGTGCTGCATGGCGGAAAGGGTCACGCTTAGATTCGTGCTGTAAGAAACCCAGGATGACACCTGTATGTCTCAGCTGATGGCTATTACTTCTCTCTTAGAAATAAGGGAATATGGAAGTGCCACAATACATAGTGAATTTCTAAATATAAATTCAGAGATTTATTACTAAAATAAAAGGCTCTGAACCCCATAAAGCATGTGGAACTTAATTTTACTCTGCAGAGCTCCACAGAAATGAAAAATCCATACACTGGAGGGCCTGATTTTCTATGTAAAGAGAAAAATTCTCAAGTAAGCTGAAGCTGAGTAATTGCCTGAGCACAGAACCGAGCGACACGGTAAGGTACCAGGTTTCTACAGACTAGATGAAGTGCAGGGAGTGAGAAACTCCTTGCTCCTAGCCCAAAGTGATGTTTTCTCTTACTGAACTCTGCCAGCTGTTAGGGTCAGCCAAGTACCAGAAAATTGTTAAATTATGGTAAACTCTTTGTGTGCTGCAGCCCTAAGATTTATGGGGCATATGTACATTGTACAGCTTTACACTGAATTGACGCAAAAGATTTTTAGTTTAGTAGTTATTCTGGTTTGAGGCTCCTTATACTGTAATAGTTTATCTTTTTGTGAGAGGAGGAATTAAGATCATTATTTAGTTAAAAAATTATTTATCCATTTTTATTTCTTCATTTTATTGACATTATTTATTATTTATAGATTCCAACATGTACTGTCAGACCAATTTAATAATACCCATAGTACAGTAATGTATTGATAAAATTGCATTAATCAAAATAAATATACAGTGAAAAGAACTGCAGTGCTCCTCTCAAATACTCATGTTTATACAAAAAAGCTATGAAGTCCAGTCTGTACTTAGTGCCTAAGACTCACTGGAAAAACAAACTCAGGCTGCAATCACTAAACACTTGACCATTACTACTATCCTGGAGTATACCAAACATGAAAAATTATTGCTGTTTGTAGCGCTAGTTTCCAAAATAGAAGAGAAACGTGTATGAGCGATGTGACACAGTTGGAAATGAGAAAGCAGACCAAGCACTGACTTTCCCATCTTTCCTCAGAAAAAATGCTGCATCTGCCAATGCTCTGGTCACCAGTAGGGCAGGATTTTAATTTCAAGACTTCTTACTGAGATAAATGAATTATATTTTTCACATAAAATGCATGGCATCAGAAGTGCAATTTATTTTTATTTTCAGGTTAGCAGATTTAGAAGAAAGCAGAATTCCATTAAAATATGACAAGTTAATTCAATTTGACACATGCTGCTATCTCCTAGTAAGTAACTAAACCGATCTCCACTTCCACTAGGATTTACTTTGTTTCCTAAATGCATTTGAAAACAATCCAAGATAGCTTATATTGTTTTCCACTACCTCAATGTGAAAAGCAAATGTTAACTAGTTTCCAAGACCAGTTCTTTCACTCCAACATGTAATGTGCGTTGGGATAATCTTTTTTATCTCAATAAATGAAACATAAAAAATCTCAGTAAAAAAAACTCCCCAAAGCACAAATGCTGTTTTACTTCCCTTTTCCTTCTCTCTCCTACCCAGTTGCTGGTTCTAAAAAGACTGGTTCCATTTTGAAACAGAAACTGCAAAATTAACGAAATTAAAACTATTAAGATGTAATGAATATGTATCTAAATATTTAATGCAACATAAAAAGAATGCATAATCTGATAGACACTAACGAGTAACTGGATTTCAAAATTGGTTTATTAAACTTTAAAGTTTTATCAAATTAACTGAGATTTAGCCTTTAAAATTAGCACTGAATACTATTATTTCTGAAATAAGACACCTGAAAGATTTTTTGTTTTTAAAAGTAACACAAATGAATAAATAACAATGATGATAATTATACTAGACTAAAATCTGACCCCAAACTTACAGTATTACTCCGTTTTCCTTTAATTTTGCTTTCAGTTAACTGTTTATAACCGCTGCAGATAGAAAACATTGCAAAAAGCTGAGGCAACGTTATTTAGTTATTTAAGCTTTTAAAGGAATGCAGCCATGTCCCAAGGGGTGGTATAAAGAACTACGCCATGATACCCTATCATGTGTACAAATTAGATTAAAAAAATCTAGTTTCAAAGCTCTCTTTTAACACAGTTTTGAAAATATCTTCTCAGTTAAGCTATATGAACTTCCCAATCAACTTTGATTACTCATTCAGTTTAAGAATCAGACTGAATAGAAGACAGGATTCGTATCATATCCAAGACTTTATTGCTAGTGGTTCTGCCACGTCCTCTTTTAACAGAAAAGAAAAATATTCACATTGCTTACTGTAAGGTTATTCCAAAAGGAGACAGTTAACATGAGGAATCTTTCCTCATGCATACATTTTCACTGAGAGGAAAATGTACCTAAACATAATCGATGTTTCAAGTTGAAATTTATAGTTACAACATTCATTAAATACTGCTGTACTTACTTATACATTAAAAAAAAAAAGGTAAATATGAAAATTACATCAACAGTTACCTTGTCTTCTAGGTCTTGCAATATTTTCTTGCAGTCCTCCAACTGTCTTTCAATCTCTGCAGGAACTATTGCGTACATTTCAGAATACTTGATCCGGAGTTTCTCCATGATATCCTTTAGAGTTTGACTTTCTTTACCAATCACACTCTGAACCTCCTACAAAATTAAGAATAGCTTCAGCAGTTTTATCCAGTTTTTACTGAGTGCATGTGTGTATACGTACATATGCACATATATATATACATACATACTGTGTTTTATATTTCCTACCACGATTATGATTTGGAAAAGTTGTTTTTGTGGTATCAAACCTAATTCGGCTACCTCTGCAAGCAGATTAACTTTGAGAAATACTCATTTAATCTAATGATGCTTTTCAATCTGTTAGAATTAATTAAACTTGATACTACTCCATGTCAGGCAACTGACGCACTGATATTTCCTGACAGATATAGCAATGTAATCATTCGAAGTGCTCCCGTGATTAAATGTTAACCTTCGTGCTCTCTCTTTTGCCAAAAGTGCCTTTCCTCTTTCAAAGACGTTTAATAGCCAGCGTTCAATCCTTCATTATTATAAACAACACAAAGGCCACAAAAAGCAACAGGTTTCAAGCTGAAGTGTCTGCTTTCAGGCAATTACGCAGAGCGGCACAGCAGGCTCCTTTCGAAACAGAAGTTTCCAGTTCTGCATGAAGAATGTAGGTTTTATGAGATAAAAGAAACTTGAACAACTGTCTACAGCCTGTGGCCTAGAAATAAAACCCGATAGCAGAAAGAATGAAGAAACTCATTTGTTTTGAAGGTTTTCTAGAATTTCAAGTTGGCAAGTTCTGTTTGTTTGCTTTATGGTTCCTTTTCCCAATGCTCAGCTGTTTGAGAAACTCAAATGTGAACTCAAGTTATTGGGGAAAATTATCTAAAGCTCCTACCGGGCAGTGAAAGACATTAAAATTAACATTCTTTTCTCTTACAGTCAGGGATAACGGTAATCTATTAACTCCTAGTCTTCACTTGGGAATCTTTTCCCTCACACACATACCGTCCACAGAAGAACTATGTAAGAGTCTGACATTGGTTTATTTCCCCACGACAACTGGGTCTGATATTAAAAAACTCAAAACCGTGAGACACAGCTGTGTGCCTCATCCTACCATAGAGAAGGCTGCTGTTGTCCAAAAGCCCAACTAAGATTGTGCCAACATTTACAGGAGTTCGTAGATTCCTGACTTGAATTTGTAAGAATCAGTTACAATATTAGTGTCCAAAACAAAGCATGTCTCTGCAAACTGGTTTCTGTATATAAATGCATGTTCACATTTCCCAGATTATTTAGCTGGAAAGCAGATGTCTGTCAAAACTGTCCCAATTTTTTTCCTAGGGGACTACATGATATCACTTGCCATTTGCATATTTATCTGTGTTGGTGAGTTAAAACTTTGCCACCTGACTAACCTAGATTTATCATCTGGAAGTGACATAGGGACCTCCATTCAATAAATGCAATGAAGCCCCAAATAAGGCTATAGTTTTTTATAGAAATAAGGTTTTCTTTGCAAGTAAGGATGAAATTGCCCTGCAGATTTTGCCTTACTGGTGTTTGCATTAGGTAAAATTAAGGAATTTTGCAATCCTTTCATCCGAATCTTCTCAAAAGGAACAGGCCTGCTGTGACACACTGCTACAAAAACATCATTAGATGGGATTGCTGCTAACATTTGCCTTTGCTGATTGCTGTCAGGCGCAGAAGCAAGGTCTAAACTCACTTTCGGGTGAGTTTTAGGTGCTCAGAGTAGCACAGTTTGGATATGAGGGAAAAGAACAGGCATCAAGCACCTGCAGTGGTAACATTTCCTCCCAGAGACAAAGCACCCAGTAAAAGAGCAGACCCAACTCTAAATTTTAATTCTAAATAATTTTAAATAGAAAACCATCCCTTTCAGACAAATCCACAAGGTTTCACTACAGTAAAGCCGGCTCATGGGTTTTCAGAACTTCCTCAAGATGTAGTTAACATTTCTCTTTCATGCAAACCCCTAGGAAAATGCTCATATCTGCCACCACGCTCTTTGGCTTCCGTACTTTTCCTAGTCCTTTGCCAGCTTCAAGCATCCACCTTCTAAAGATGGTGGGGACCCCCAATTAGTTTTTATACAAGACTCAGCAAAGACAGCCCAAATTTTTAATAGACCTTAGTAGGCTAGAATAAATAAATTATAAAGTTCTATATTTAAAAGATAAGATTTAATCTAGTTAAATATAATTTTAAATATATTTTTGATTAAATATAATTTAAAACATATTTTTGATCAAGATTTAAAAACTAAGAAAGCAATAAAAGCAACAATAAGGCTAAATTGAAACAAATACAATGAAAAGAATAAAAAAATAAACCCACATTCAGGAAGAGTTAGGAATAAGGCCATTTCATAAAGTCAAGAATTCAAAGAAGGATAACAAAAATACACTTGAAATGACAGAGATGTATAGACTGGGTTGCTGCAGAGTGCTGGCTGCTGCTAGTGGAGACTGTCGTCTTGATCACAATTTGATTTCTAAAAAGCATTTACCAGGTTAAGCTCCTGATGTGGAACAGCAAATCCAGAGCATCTGAAAAGCTGCTCTGTCCAGGTATATAGAGGGGGAAGAGGTGCAGGATGTGCGCTAAGCAGTCCTTCCTAAAAGACATGCAAGTGGCTGTGAATCTCTCTGCAATCTGGAAAGACTTCTACGGCTGCTAACTGGACCACACAGCTGCTAACTGGACCACACAGAGGGAGAGGAATTCGAACCAAGGACGTGGCAGGGCCATTCATATTCTGCTGAGCCAGATTCATTCTCTTTAAATCAATGTGCATATGCATGTATTTTGCCACTAATTGTGGAGCAAATTCAACTGCCAGCATAAAACAGAAGGCATTCCAAATGTCCCCACACAATAACAGAGCCGTTACCAACCTGCAGTTGTCCTGCCTTTTCAGTAGCATCTTGCAATAACACAGATGCAGCATTCTGTAATGCATTTGTCACAGCACTTATTTCTTCAATGATCTTGTTCCTCTCTTGAATCTCAGCTTGTAAAGAATCCTTATGGTCTTGAGTCTTTTCATACAACCTATGAAAGATTTCCCACAAGAATACATTGTGTTAGATTCTACACTAAGTAGGAGAAACCAAAGCACAGACTTAATCCAGATATTTTTAAAGTATATATCCAGAACCACATGTCTTTATTTTAGTATTATTTTCTGTAACTAAATCTTTGAGTTTCTGTCCTTTATTGTCTCAGTTTCTTCAAAAATGAGTGTTTGGATATTGCTAAACATAGTATGTTTGGTAGACCAAATCAGATAGCATGCGTATTTAAACAGCAAACAGACTTCACGTTCTCAGAGACGGAAAATGCTGGCAGAGCAGAATATGTTCACAAAGATTTCCAGGTCAGGCTGCAGGCATGGAGAAGGGCGAGTACAATCACAGGTTTGAAAAAAAAAAATGTTTGAGGCAAATTTTAAACAGTGGCACTCACTTTTTAATGCAAAAGTTGCACTGTTGCAAAAAGCACAAGGTCTGATTTTCCCAAGAGTGGAAGATTCACCTCCAAAATCCACCATTATCCCTTCTAATTCCTTCTACATTTGAATACTAATTGCAGCCCACACATGATATGGCCAGGCTCAGGTCTTCTGCTTAACTACTGTCTCCCAATGCCCGTGCTGGAGATAGAATATGGGTTAGATGGAGCATTGGTCTGACCCAGTAGGACATTTGCTATCTTATTAAGTGCATTACAGTTTTCATATATTCTTTAATACTCAATAAAACCGTGTGCTTGTAAGTAGTCCTATGTCATATCTTCAACAGAAATGTCATACCACTTACTTTTTACAGCGATCCTGCATTGCTTTTATCTCACATAAGGCGGGAAAGGCAGTTTCCATCTCAGTATTTTCAGATGTATTCAGGATGTTTCTTATTCGGTGAAGAAGTAAGAATAAGAGGAGCTGTTGCTGCTTGATATTTTCCTCAAACGAGTTCACAAAATCTAGTAATTCTACCAGTTCTTCTCTGGTGGCCTTTTCTTTCTCTTTAAGACTTTCTGGCTGTTCTTCTTGGAGCTTATCAAGAATTATTGTTTCTCGTTCCAGCTAAGTAAACAGCATGTCAAAGCATGAGATAAAGTGCTTTTTTATTCCATTACCTTAAGTTACATTATTCATTTACTCATACACATGACTAAGTACTGGGAATTACAAAGCCAGAGAACTTGAACCTCTGAAGTGTGCCAAAACATTAGAGCTTGCTCTAACAAAGGACATAACCATACACACAGTTGTTCTGGGTTCAGAGAATTTGTACTGTAAGAATCCCCATCGTTTTTGACTCCAGGTTCAAGGAAGGCTGGGGATAACTGGCTGATCAGTGGGTGGGAAATTATATTCTGCACTGATCTCAGACTTTTACATGCCATTTTACCAAGTCTCATCCCTGCCTCACTTCCCAAAACTTACAGTTTGTTGAGCAACTCACCTCTTCATTGATGAATTTCCACTCCTGCTTTAGTTCTTCACAGTTAATTTCCAGACCCTCAGCTGCCTCAAGCAAACCCAGCCAATTTTCCCACAGCACTCTTACAATCCTGCCCAGTGCCTTGTCGCTTCGCTTGCATAATCTCATCAGCTCTCCAGAGACCTGTCTCAGCTTCACAAGATCATCTTCAGCCGAGTCAATGTTGGAGACTAAAATCTTATAGGAAAAGTAAACAAGCAAATAAATAAAACAGTACAGTGAGAAGTGCTAAAGAGGCATTCAGTAACATGACTAGGGTCCTCTAATAAAATGGCAATTGCTCCACTGAGCTGGTTAAATACAGTTGTAATGAGAGAATTCCATTGGCTAACACTGCTGAGAAAGATGGGGTAAATAAAACGAGCAAAACAAAGAGAGAACAGTGTGGCCAGGCAACTAGGTTGTTCTTACTTCTTTCTGGTTATTTAGAAGAGAAGAAATGATGAGGAGTTACAGATATATAAAATGACAAGCCTTTAATATGATGAGTACTAAAAGAGAAGACAGCAAAGAGGTTGGTCATAGCAGAGGTCAGGTGAGGAGGCAGCAAGAGAGTCCTGGGTGGGGAAATTCTCTGATTTTCACTTCTGAGGGAAAACAACAGTAATGTTAGAAATCTGATCGGCCCTGGTCCTGCAAAGAAGCAATGAGGGTTCTCAACAGAAATGCAACACTATCTTAAGCACAGATAATGTTTGTTTTCTACAGCAATGAGATGTACTTCATTTTACATGGCCTATTATAATCCGGTCTTTTTACACATATATAAATATATTCTGTAGTCTTATATATACATAAATATAGGATAGAGAATTTCACTTTTTTCTACTATGATTACACATGGATAGTGTAGCACATGCATGGCACACACGTTTTGCATAAGCTTTACGAATTCTCCAGAGTGTCTCTTACCTTGCTTTCTTCAAAGTGCTCCAAAGCTTCTTTGTAAGACATTGGTATTTGAGAGAAAGACTGACTAAGCAACTTTCTCAGTTTGTTAAGATCATCACACACCTTATCTTTGGTTTTTGTGTAGCTTTTGTATTTTTCAAAATACCTGTAGGAAACAATTAACAGACCAATTAAATTTTGTTGTGGTTGCTCCTCTCTCCAACCACAATGTCCACTAGAATAAAAACCCAAAATTCTTCTGAACTAGTAGTCCTTAGTCTTCTGCAAGTTATCTTCAATTAGCATTTGTTATAGACTTCAGGTTTGATATCTGAGATACTTTACAGATGCAGGTACAAATGCCACAGAGGTAAAGTAATACAGGTATGTATATTCATGTATCAGCCATGGAGCTGCTCAAAAGAATTGTATCTTGATTTAAGTCTCCATCCTCCTCAGATATTCCCAAACCTGAGTTCCCAGTTTGTAATACACATTCTGTTTGTCCCTATGATGCATGGTCTCTACAATTCTAATTTCTTATTTTAGTATCTTATTATCTCTTCTATTACATAAGCCTTTAAAGTCATCCGATTCTTTGATTACAAAAGTAGATTTTAAGGTTATGCTCAACAGAACCAGAAGCACTGGATCATGAGCAAGCAATTTAAAAATCTTTTACTCTGTCTCCCAAACCTTTTCTGTACATGTATCTGACGGTCCCTCAGATCTCTTCTGTACCAATATTTGAAGGAATAGAATCATAGAATGGTTAGGGTTGGAAGGGACCTCAAAGATCATCTAGTTCCAACCCCCCTGCCATGGGCAGGGAAACGAAAGAAAGGGAGGAAAGGAAGGAAAGGGAGGAAAGGGAGGAAAGGGAGGAAAGGGAGGAAGGAAGGAAAGGGAGGAAGGAAGGAAAGGGAGGAAGGAAGGAAAGGGAGGAAGGAAGGAAAGGGAGGAAGGAAGGAAGGAAGGAAGGAAGGAAGGAAGGAAGGAAGGAAGGAAGGAAGGAAGGAAGGAAGGAAGGAAGGAAGGAAAGAAAGAAAAGAAAGAAAAGAAAGAAAAGAAAGAAAAGAAAGAAGCTATGGGCTGCGTCTTATTTGGTCTTTACCTTCCCAAGCCATCAGAATAGCCTATGGAAGACACGCATTAAGGCACCTCTGAAAATTAGTCTACTCTGCACCAGCACTGAACTAGAGACTGTGGAAATATGCTTTCTTCTGATTCTGGCACCCTATGACACTCAGTCGAGGCCCATACATAACTTTTGGAATATACTAAAAATGATTGCATTCGAAGTTAGTAGCAACATGCTTATTGTCTGGTAATTTTCCTTTCATTACAATCACATCTGGGATCAACAGAAATGCTTGTAGTTCTTTCTGCTGAATTACCTGGTTCTATCAGAGCAGAAACAACACTGCATTTATTATCAGTCAAATTTCTCATAATAAGGAACATGATCTAGGAAGATCTCTTAAACCTACCTCTGTTCATCCGCTTCCTTTCTTTGAGCCTTATCCCTTAATACTAAACTCTTACTGACTAGTTCCATTAAAGTATTTTCCAGATGTATTTTCTCTTCTGGTTTCACTAGGTTTTTCAGCTTGGAGTAGAGGTTTTCTATGTCAGCCTTTAAAGAGTTGAACTCTTCTTGTTTCCATTGTGCAGTCTGACAGACCTCCTCTGAGCTATCGAGATCTGCTGCAGCAGACTGGACTTGAGCTTCATAGTCCTCGAGGAACCTGGCAGCCCTCTGAACAGCCTTGGTATAAAGCTCAGCAGTCTTACATGCCTCCTCCAGAGCACTCTGAAAATGTTAAAAAGACAAAAGAACAATCAAGAAAGACTGCTGTGCTCCTCTGGATCACCAGATGGTCTTCTCAGAATTTCACACCTGGTTGTCTTTGAGACCAACGCTCCCAGAACCGGTCTGAGGAGGTGAGGAAGGACACACGGTAAATGCACGCTGCTATCTAGGTAGTCACAGAGCAATGCTGTAACCTATGGACTGGTTACCCTCAACCATAGGAACAGAGGTTATGAGGGAACTGCCAATACTGGAAAGCTCCAGAGAGAAGAATGGCAGAGCACAAGAGCCATTAAGATCCTTTATGGACATGACAGTATACATCCTGTTCAGATAAGGAAGGCCCACATTATTCTGCTCCAGGGGATATCTCCACTATGACTTGCCAAACTGCTTCTCACTAAACTCGTATGTATTTATACACAGAATCATGTGTTACTTTGCCAGCTCTTGGATTCCCACAGGGCAGAGAAACTTGGGCATTGTACTTCCCTCACAACACCCAAGCAGTGAAGATGAAGCACAGCAAACCAGGAAATCTGGCAGCAGGACCACAAGTCCATCAGGTACGTTGAGTCTGTTTCCCTGTTATTAGCTACTACCTCATTATTTCCTTGTTTGTATCCATTCATGTCTTGGTGTTTTCATCATTTCCTCTACATGTTACATAAAATCAGTCCCAAGAATAATCTCCGGACAATTGCACCCAGTCTCTCTTCAGCTCAATATTTCAACACAACTTTTTCCTTTCTCCCCTTTACCTTTCTTTTCTTGTGCTAATCTCCAGTGCTTGATTATAATCAAAGTGAATACAACTCATTTCTTTCTATCCTTAGTTTATTATCATGATTCCCACCACATCCACCAATGCAGAGATGATGATGGGCCGATTCAGTTATTAGAATAAAAGGAGGATATAAGTCATGAAAATATAAACACTACAGTCACAGACACCTCATCTAATTATTGGGGAAAAAATATATGGCCATACCTTACTTTTATTAAATATACTTACAACACGGGCAGCAACATCTGTCTTCAGTCGCATTTCATGGTCTTGCAGTGCCTTTAATTTTGTTTCTATAACAGCAGCAAGAGACTTTTCCTCTTGTTTTTCCCTCTCTTTTTCCACTATACATTTAACAGCAGAAAACTTTACTTGCATCATATTCTGAATTGCTTCCCATCGCATCTTTTCATACCGCATTGTTTTTATGTCTATCAGAAGTGGTTGCTGGAGCTCTAATTGAATATGCTTTATGATGTGGAATATATGTTCTACTTCATTCTGGATATCTTCCTTGTTTACACACTGGAGTCTAGAGACCAAGTTTTGAAGAAACTGATTCAGCTCCTCAACATCTTTCTCCAGGCTCTTTATTTCTTTCATCTGAGAAACTTTGAATGGTGTATCAAAGACTTCATTTTTGTTTATTTGATTTGTTACTTCTTGGATTAAGTACAAGATTTGTTCAACTATCTGAAACAGAATCTGCGCAGATACGAGATTCTCGGCAGGAGAAGAGCTAGAGACATCATTTAGGATGTCAGCTTCTTTTTTTACAGTGGATGTCAGAGTCTGGATTTCACTTAGTGATGTTTGAATCTTATCACATTCCCTAACAACATTATCAAAGCTTATTATCGTCTCTTGAATTTTATTTTTAATTTTTAAAAAATTAGTTTGCAATTCATCCAGCTGCAGTGAGTCCCATTTTAGACTTACACATCCAAAGATCTCTTTGTACTTCATCATTTGTGACAAATCAGACTGAAAAGCTAATACTTTCTCTTTAAGTGCTTTGCATTTATCCTTCACTTCCTGCCGGGCACCTAATAATTCACCTTCTTCTAGATTCATTTCACTATACTGTAGATCATTAAGATCTTGCTGCAATAAAGTTATTCCTTCAGCAAACTCTCTGTAGACAGCTATCTTTTTTTCTACTTCATGAAGTTTACTCTGAATTTGCCTCTGTGTTTTCCTTGCTCTATTCTTCAGACTTCTTAACTGATCAATCAAAAATAGTTGTTCAGACAGGCTCAGTTCCCCAGCTGTGACCTGACTCTCTTTACAGTGGGATGAGATAAGTTCTTCTATTTCCTGTATGTCCTTTAAAATCTCTGCTAAAATGGCTTGTTGATTGATTAATTCTGGCCATGTGCTGGTCTGGTTCATGTCAGGCCTGGCAAGCATCTCAGCATTTCGAAGCTGACAGTGAACTTTTTCTACTTCTGCAATAAGTCTTTGCCTCTCCTCCAGCTGGAGCTCTAGGTGCTCTAATCTTTGAGTTGATTTTAAAACAAGAGCCTTGTATGAATCCTGCAAGGTTTGTAAAAGGAAGATCATATCAGAGATCTCCTCTGGCTTCAAGGTGGGAACGAGGTGCTGCAGCCCATAATCTAGTGACAGAATCACAGGCTCTCTGTTTAGAATTTCCGTGTTCATAAGCTGACAACTTTTGATCTGTGATTTAACATCACTAGGGAAAAGTGCTGCTTTCTGATCAAGACAGGACAGTGAATCTTTGACCCATGAAATATTTTCTTTCAGCCTTTTCATCAATTCATGTTTCATGAGAGCAGGACCAGTCATCTGAACATCCTCTTGAGGAGTTTGTTGCGCTGATAATGCTTCCAATTTGCTCTGCAAATCATGTATAGAGTTCTCCAAAGCTACCTTCTCTTGATCACTCCAAATTCTTTTCATCTGCAATTCAATCCTTCTTTTTAATAGAGAAAGACCATGTTTAATGTCTTGCAGCTCTGTGGCCCAAAGTACAGGGCATTTGGCTTTTCTTTCAGACGAGGAATATAACTCTGCTTGTAAACATTGTTCTTGTATCAGTCTCTGAATATCCTGTGCTTTATTCATAAGCAGGTTAAATTCATTGATTTCTGCCACAACTTGACAATGTTTCTTTTGCACTGTTTGTTCCATGTGTTGCCACCATTGCTCCAGTTGTCTCATTTGGCTTTCAGTTAACACTTTATCCACGCATGTTAAATGCTCAGATAAACTTTCTTGCTGAGTTTTCAACTGGTTTAAGACATCTCTTTCTTTTTGTAAGGACTCTATGCATGCCTTAATTTTCTCCAGAAGAACGGTGTTGTTCATAGGACCCCTGCCAAAAATACAAGTAGCGTTCAAAAATAAAAATAAACTTCTCGTAAAACATGGACTAGACACATTTTAAAAAGAGAATTTCACTATTTAGAAAATGATTCACTCACTTTATTCACTTAATCACATGTATCTCTGTGTTCTCTCACAAATCTCCTAACCATCACTGCAGTATCATTGCATTGCTTATCTGTACAGCATTATTTATTTCCAGATATCTCTTCAGAAAAGATATGTTCTAAAGAATATTCTCTAAAATTGCAGTATATGCTAATATAGAATGCACCCTTTCCTAATGGAATGTAGCCTCCCTTTAAAGTTACAATAAATAAAATTTTAAAAATCAACAATAATGTTAAGTCATCTCTAGGTGAATGAACAACATTTTATGGTAATTTCGATTTACAATGAAGATAAAACTTAAGTTTTAAGAAAAACTTCAAAAATTCCCATTGGTTCAAGATTAATTTGGAGACGTTTATCTACTCATCTTTTATTTCCAGGAGTATTTTGAATTCCCTACCTGAAATACATTTAGCAGCCAGATTTTTACTCATTCTTTTTTTTTCAATCTTTTTGCTATAAATTAACAATTTTAAACACTATTATAAAGATTTTCAAATTACTGTGATACATTATTGTGACCAATAGGCTAGTTCCATGTTTTGTAGGCTAATTCATAAAAAGTACTAAATATTTTGCTTGTGTTAGTCACCTCTGAATTGGTACTGTAGACTCATTCATTGCCACAACTCCATGGTCTAGGCAAGTGCTCTGTGTGGTGGGTGGGGAACTGGCTGCCACGCTGCACCCAGAGAGGGGTGGTAAATAGCTCCTTTCCAAACTGGCAGCTCGTCACAAGTGGGGTCCCCCAGGGATCCACATTGAGCCCAATGCAGTTTAATGTCTTCACAAGCGATCTGGATGATGGGATCAAGTACACCCTGATGAAGTTTGCTGATGATACCAAACTGAGCGGGGCAGTGGACACTTCAGAAGGGAGAACCACCCTCCAGGAAGACCTGGATAGGCTGGAAGAGTGGACTGACAAAAGTTCAACAAGGACAAGTGTAAGGTCTTGCACCTGGGAGAACATCATCTGGGAGTGCAGCACAGGCTGGGATTTATTCAGCTGGGAAGATGCTCTGTGGAAAGGGACCTGGGGGTTCTGGGACACGACAAGCTCGATATAAGCAAAGAGTGTGCTGCTGCAGCAAAGAAATCCAACAGGATGCTGAATTGCATCAAAAAGGGCATCACCAGCAGAGATAAAGAAGTGACGAGCCCACTCTACTCAGCGCTTGTCAGGCCACACCTGGAATACTGTGTTCAGTTTTGGTCTCCACTATACAGAAAAGATGGGGACAGGCTGAAGAGGGTCCAGAGAAGGGCCACAAGATGATCAAAGGACTGGGAAGCCTGCCATATGAGGAAAGGTTGAGGGAACTGGCTTTGTTCAGCCTTGAGAAAAGAAGGCTTAGGGGAACCTTATCACCATGTTCCAGTATTTAAAGGGTGGCTACAAAGAAGGTGGAGACTCCCTTTTTACAAGGAGTCACATGGAAAAGACAAGGGGTAAGTACAAGCTACCCCTGGGGAGATTCCGATTGGACAAAAGAGGAAAATTTTTCCCCATTAGAACAATCAGCCATTGGAATAATCTCTCCAGGGAAGTGGTGGATTCCCCAACATTGGACACTTTTAAGATTCAGCTGGACAAGGTGCTGGGCCATCTCGTCTAGACCGTGCTTTTGCCAAGAAAGGTTGGACCAGATGGTCCTTGAGGTACCTTCCAACCTGGTATTCTACGATTCTATGATTTCACTCAGAAAAAAATCTGTACTGATGAGTCCTTAAAGAAAAATTAGTATTTCCCATCTGCCATATTTTTTCAAAAATATTTTAATATGGCTTTTAGATAGGTTTTTAGCACAGCAACCATTTATTTCTTTTGCCTAAAAAATACAAAGAGTAGATGTTGCTAAAGGATAGCAGAGAACCACCAGAAATGCTTCTGTTTAAGGCTCTTTAAGCTTACAAACCTACGAAACTTCTCTTGCTACCTAACGTTAACAAGATGGATAAAACACCATCTTCTTGTCTGAGCATTATTGAAGTATGGCACGAAATTTAGTCCAGGACTATATTTGTTCTGCAATCTATTGACAGAAACCTTCAATTATACTTACATTTTTATGTTATCTTTTTCTGTTGACAAATTTTTCATTGAGGACTGCGCAGCAGAAAGATTTTTCTGGTACTCATTAATTAAACAGTACTGTTGTTGCTTCACTTCCTTAACAGCAGCTAGCTCTTGAAGCAGCCTGTCCCAGCAGGGCACCACAGGCTCTGTGGTTTGCAGCTCTGCTCTGTTTGATCCTGTTGCATTGGGAAACGCTTCTTGACTATGACACAAAGATTTTGCTTTCCATGTTTCCAGTTCAGTTTGTAAATTCTACAATCAAGCCCATCACAGAGAGAGGATTAAAAGAGGATCTTAAACACTTCCAGCTTTCAGCACAAAATACAGTTATGTACTGATACATCTCCAAACATATGCTTGCTCAGTCACATGCAAATGAGCACACATGCCTGTGCACATCACGGAAGCACACACGCGATCATAGATGCATCTACCACGGCACTCTAGAAGAGCAGTACAAAATACGGTATTTACATGGACATATTTGCATTAAGGCTCAGTGTTTGTAGATTACCTGGTAGACAAACTGACTAATCATGCAGTCAAACCTTAGGTAAGACTATATGCAACCATTTTGTTTTGCCAAGTGAATCATAATTCTGTAAGCGTATCACTACATTAACAATGAGGAATGGCTTTGCGATTTCCATACCTCCAGCTCTTTTAGTTGTTCATTTATGAGCACGATATCCAGTTCAGCCACTTCATTTTTCAGCTTGTTGACCTTTTGTTCCTCTTCAAAATATTCAGTGTTTACTTGCACTCCAGGAAATAGTTCCTTCTGGACAACCACTTCCGTATCTGCATCCTACAACGCAAAACAGGATTCTTACGTCTGAAGATCCTAAACCCAACAAGTTTTCTGACTGCAACACTTTGCTTCACATGTTTAAGCCATGCCTAAATCCTGCTGTGGTTTCCCCCACAGCCTCTGAGGGTCAATCAGGATCCAGGTGATGGAACCTCCATCACTGCCCCTGATCTCTGCAGTCACCCTGGCTTGCCAGCACTGCTCAGTTAGCTACAAAATCTCTGCTCATCATTTGAAGTTTGAAGCTCTGATATCCCTGCCTTCAAATAACATCCTCCCTGAACCCACCTCTGCTACTGATACATTCACAGCTCTATCCTGTCTTCTCCCCTCCCCCTCCTCCTTACATTTCTGTGGTCCTTTAACCTCTCCTCACACCCACATTCCTTCTGCTCGGGACCTGCCTTGATGTACTGCTGTGTCCTTCACCAGGACCATCTCTTCAACTGTTCTTCCCAGAGCGACACATGCATGAAGCAGCTTGGCTGTGACACAAAGCCACGGCTGCTACCGCCACAAGTGCTATCCAAAATCAGGGGTAAGATGAGAGTGTTAGGGAGCCATGTCTCAATCGGGATGGGGAGGAAGGGAATGGGGGGCTCCAGAGCCAGTCCCTGGCACTGCCATCGATTCCCACAGTGACAGAAAGATAAGTCACTTGGGGTGTGATCAGGTTTAACAGCCCATCAGCTGAGCTGAGGTCATTGCCCAAGTAGATGCTCTTAACCAGCCTCAGTCCAGATGTAAAACATAATCCCCTATATCACCTTCAGCTATTGCAGACAACAACATAAATGAAAAGGCACAGAGATTTTGTTGGGGTTTCCAGTTAGAGCAGATGCACAAGTCCCAGGTAAGACCTGCAAATGGACAGGCCAGCTGCGGACTTGCCTAGAGATTTAACCGTGAAGATTAGATCTGGCCTTACTCTTAAGGAAGAACAGACTTAGTAATGTCATTTAGTAATGTACTTTGTTACTCATTCAGCTTGAATTCATTCTCTTTTCTCTATTTTATTTAATTTATTTTCTTATGCTGATCACCCTTGGATTTCAGTTTTCTGATCTGCCTTTCTTATGATGGCACAGACTATCACAGCTAATTATAATAACACAAAAATAAGTTATATTGATTAATAATTTAAAGAGAAACCCTAAATATTACAAAATAAAGACATTATGATGGCTCGTAAACCCAAAATTGCTCTTTGAACAGATCCACTGAGAAATATGATGTGGCTAGCACTTTGGATAAAGTTCAAAACTCCCATGGACATAAAGCAGAACTATAAACAAACCTCTTGATTTTGATGCAACTGTAATTGTCTCTTCTTTTATAAGAGAACTTCAGCTGAAGCCCATGTGAAAACAAAAATTCAATGACTCTGACAAAGGCAGCTTGAAATAACAAAATGTAGGTTACCTCATAGGCAGAAACTGGGGGATTAGGTTCCACACCATGTTTCTCAGCTGCTGCAGGTTTCAGGACTCGACTTTTCTGGCACACCCTTTGTTGAATCTGATCCACATCTTCTCTATACGACTGATTCTTGACATCGCTAGGTTTCTCCTTTTGGTGTAAGAAAAATAAAAGAAGGAAGTAACGAAAAAGCCCTCATCAAACCTGCTGAGTAGTAATTACAGTGCTTGAGATGACAAAGTTACAAAGCCCACAATTACAGGTAGATGAGGAAAACCACAATTACATCTCATAATTTATTGCGGGCAAGCTTATGGCAAAGGAAACCATTTAGAAGAAGCAGTACTGTAATTTTGTTATAAATTTTTAGAAAAATTGCAGACTGTAAGTGTTTTTCCTCTGACCCACGCTGCTCATGTTTTGTTATTCAAAACTTGGACCTTGAACTGTGTGCCCTTGGATGCAGTCTTTAGTGCATTTCTTAAAAGGTTTAGCATTTTCCTGAGGCTCCGATCTTGTACTTGTACTGTAGACAGAAAGCCTGTGGTTAGACACCCAGTCGATTACCAGGCAGGATATACCCACGGGCAGGCCAGAGATTTGCTGTATGTACACACTGAGGTATTTGCTGACTGTAAGTTCTGCCTGAGTTTGGTGTTCAGCTGGGGATAGATAAAAAAATGCCACACATCTCCACAAAATAAAGCATGGCAAATCCTTACAGCATGACCGTGGTGGAGAGCACAGCACGGCGTATCTATCTGCTGCACAGATAGCTGAACTAGTGGCTGCAAGTCAGACACGGTGTACAACGAAAGTAGCCCGCCCACAAATCAGAATGAACAAATTTACCCCAATTCTCAGCAAGCTCATGAGTGCACACTGTGCTCCATCTTTTCCAACTACATTGCTTTCAGCATCTCACACAGTTGGCTAAAACTGAAGGTCTGAGAAGAGTCCGGCTCTGTCTTCTCTATAACACCCCTTCAGAGAGGGGATGACAGCAAGGAGACCCCTGTAAGCCTTTTCATCTCCAACAAGAACAAAGCCTCTTCCCACTCGTTATGGCTCCAGCTCCTAAATACTGCTCTAGTTTGTCAAAATTCCCCTTGTACCAGGGTGCACCAAACAGGACACAGCATTTCAAACGCAGCCTCCTACATGCAAAGCAAATATGTAAATAAGAAATCTAAATAAATGAAAGGGACTCAAGCAAAAGGGTAAGACGACTTTGCAATAAGTCCAGGTGACTTGGAATGCAATATCCTCAGCAAACCACCTTGTGGCAGCCCATAGTAATACAAAAAAAAATTCCCTCCATACTAATTTTAAAGGTACAGGAAAGGATTCAAAGTGTTAATGCATGTTAAGTATACAGCACATCATTGAGAGTTTTATTATTTATTTGTTTAGTAGTGGTATCATCCTCACTACAACTAAACTGTATACATACACCCTCAAATTTAATCACTCTTCTGTAATCTCATGTCCAGTTACCTCTGCTGGATGGGTTTCCTTTCTTGTTTCATCACCTTCAATACCAACACCATACTGACGTCTTTCCAGGTCTGCTTCACCACCCTGAACCGCATTGTCCAGAACATCCTCTTGGGCCTTGTCACGTTTGTCCATAGCTGGGCTCTCTTTACCAGCTTCCCCCTGATTTGACAAAAATACAAAATGTTTACAACCAGTAAAAGACACAGTCCAAAATCCAAGTTTACTAAGGAACATCACACTCCACAAGCTGTCTACTCTATCTTCAGTTTAGTTTAACGAATGAAGGAAAAGGCTGAGGTCACCAAAACCCAGAGTCTCATGGAAACACCTGCTGAGATCAGTTTGCTGTATCAGCACCTTAATCACTATGAAACAGTTCAGAGACAAACCAAGCAGAAGTAAGTGCTCACATGATTTTTAACACCGTCATGGAAGTTTCTGCTTAGACACATTTTGCAACCCTAACTATTGAGCCAACTGCATCCTGGGCTACATCAAAACAAGCATGACCAGCAGGTTGAGGGAGGTGATTCCACCCCTCTACTCTGTCCTTGTGAGACCCCACCTGCAGGACTGCATTCAGCTCTGGGGCCCCAGCATAAGAAGCACATGGAGTTGTTGAAATGAGTCCAGAGGAGGGCCACGAAGATGATCTAATGGCTGGAGCACCTCTGTTATGCAGACAGGCTGAGAGAGTCGGGGTTGTTCAGCCTGGAGAAGAGAAGGCTCCGGGGAAACCTTCTAGCAGCCTTCCAGTACCTGAAGGGGCCTACAAGAAAGCTGGAGAGGGACTTTTGACAAGAGCGTGTAGTGATAGGACAAGGGGCAATGGATTTAAATTGAAAGAGGGCAGATTTAGATTAGATCTAAGGAAGAAACTCTTCACTCTGAGGGTGATGACGCACTGGAACAGGTTGCCCAGAGAAGCTGTGGCTGCTCCATCCCTGGAAGTGTTCAAGGCCAGGTTGGATGAGGCTTTGAGCAACCTGGTGTAGTGGAGGGCTTCCCTGCCCATGGCAGGGGGGTTGGATGATCTTTGAGGTCTCTTCCAACCCAAATCATTCTATGATTCTATGATCTTGCTCCTTCTCCAGAAATCCCAGTACGGATGGTTTCCACTCTGATATTTTGATGACCATCTCCCCAGCTACTGTTACCACTCAATGGTCAGGTCAATGAAAGATTTCATAATCATCCCCTCAGCTTTACACATGTGAAGTCATTTACAGTGTGAACATCCTGAGGTCAGCAGTTCCAGGTTAGTGATCTCTCACTCTCTACCTTGTGCGTGCAGGTGACAAAACCTGTTGAAATCACAGGTATGTTGCAGGTTTTGTACCATGGAGAAAGTAGGTCCAAGCCCTGAGGGCTTGTAGAGATCATCACATTGATCTCTTGCGCATTTCACGTGCGCAGCTGAGAGGATGATTTGGAGAACATAATTTCTCATTCCTTTCATCAGATAAGGAAACTATGTTTATGTAAGACTACATGTTTTAAGGAATTACATATGCTGTTCTAGTGAACAGACAAACACACGCACACACATATATAAGCACTGACGTGTATGAGAACATATTTGTCAAGCACCTGAACGGTCTGCCTCAATGTGTCCTTGCTCTGACAGATCCCCTGTAGTGGGCTGTCTGACAATAAACTGCTTTCCTCAGAAAGTGGATCATTCTGCTTCTCTTTCTCGGACATATTTCCATTCACATCTTGACCCTAAGAGAAATGATATAAAAGAAAACCTGTTTGTGTGACCATAAACATTGTATTTTAACATTAAATCTCTGAATGGCAAAATCATCTACGAAAACAAGCAGGACAAATATTTCGCTGCAGTTGTAAACAAGTCTTACTGGTTTAAGAGAAGCTCTCGAGGTCCTTTGGCAAAGGTGTATCTGCAGTTTTCTCATCTATACACCTTCTCCCTTTGTGTCCTGACCCGGGATACCTGCTCTAATTACATGCAAGAGAAATCTACGCGCAGGTCGTGTTTAAATGGAAAACTGCAGTTTCGAACAGACATTATCGGCTTGGTACAGACTTGTTATGACAAGTTTTTCTCCACATCTTTGATTTACACACACAGATTTACAGAAGGCTTAATTTTGACGAAATTAAGGATGGAATATAGGATGCAATATACAAAAGGCATTTGAGAGACAGACACCTCTTTAACCAGTCTTCCACTGCCATCACTGTCAACAAATATACTCACATCATGCATTTCCAAAGGCTCCTTTAACTCCACTGCTATGGGGCTCTCTTCTGCAGCGACAGGAGCATCAGAAGTGATCTGTATCTCTCTCTTCAGCCTTGTATCCGCCTCAGCTTCCATTTGTATTGCATTACCAAACTCATCTTTTAACTCAAGGGCTCCACTGGAAATACTTTCCTCCTTTTGCTTGACATTTTCAAGTCTTTCTTCCAGACTCCTGTGTTCACTCTGAAGTGTTTCAATCTCATCTTTAATAAACTTCTGTCCTTGTGAAGAGGTGTTTTGTTTAACAGTTTCTGCTAAAATCAAAATCTTCTTTAACGTGTCTTCGCATCGACTAAGAGGTGCTTGTTGTTCCTTTAAACATGAAGAGAACATTGTATTGAAAAGTTTCTTCACTCAATAAACTTAATGCTAAGATCTAAAGTAAATCGCTAAAACCATAAATATTTGTTGTGAACAACAAACTGTGCTGAAAAGTACATGCGGACCTATTTGCTGCAGAAAGCCAAACACTAAACTACTAATTTTAATCAGCCATTTTTATGAACAGAGAACACCTGAAGCTATAAGCATTACGACAATGATAAAATAATCAGTATGCTGTGAGGTGCATGATGATGCTTCCAAGTTTCGAACAGATAATCCCCTCCTTCTCCTATTATTTCTTACTTCTTAGAGGGATAGCAAACTCTGGAAGAAGGGGAATTGCAGTGATCCATATCTGAGCTATGGTTTCAGCTTTCAGCAGCTCTCTACACCCACAGCAACTGTTATCCATTCTTCCAAAGTGCAAAAGAATGCCTACTTATGCATGAAGGACACTTCTTAAAACTAAACTTGGCTCACTGACATTTTCCTAAGCTTTCTGCTCTGACTAATTTAAAGACACTTACTAACACGAAATTTAATGATCTCTTTCCTCATGATGCCAAGAGAGGAAAAAAAAAACAAACAATCAAACTGAAGCCTGTGTGCTTGAGCTGGGGCAATTCTACCTCTAGTTCAGCTGACAGTAAAGGTGTACTCAGTCCACTAAGAGTGGCTTTAGGCCTACAATTATCTTGACAAAAGAAACACCACATATACTCAATATTTCAGAAAGGTTTCTTAGTTTTTCAGTTTGACACCATTAGCAGTTGTCTTTTATAAACGTGATGGTCTCTACAAGCCCCCAGGGCACAGATCCACTTTCTCCATGATGCAAAACCTGCGACATACCTGTGATTTCAACTGGTTTTGCTCAGCTGATGGTTGTACCATTGCTGGACCTTCACAACCAGCAAGCTTCTCAGAGACAGTCTTCAGCTCAGTGCTCAGGCCTGCTACCATATCCTGAAACTGCTGGTGCTGTTGAACATGACTTTCCAATGTCTGCACTATGGTCTAGAAACCAAAGAGTTTCAAGGATTAGTCCACCATTAGCTCAAACAACCACAACTCATCCACAGACTGTCATAGCTTTTCCAGGACCTCAGCAGCACAAAAAACTCGCTTGTTTCCCATAAAATATCCAGCTACCCACAGGTGCACAGAAAATCCCTTGCCTTCTTCCCAGCACATCATGGACTTCACCATGAACAAAATCTTCATTAGTAGCAGGAAGCAGAAGAGTTTGCATTCCATAAGAATATACTTCTAAAAGGGATGTTTTCCACTCAGAATGGATGACAGATTAGATGCAGAATGCTACACAGGGTGCAAATGCAATTTGCACTAAACTGGGTGGAACCAATAACAAACAAGATGCAGGAAAAGCCATTCATCCTTCCAAAAGGGGAAAAAAAACCTCTACTGTGGCTTAGAGATTATAGGAATGACTGCTTCATATTACGGCTATCTGAAATTGTTTATACAGGTATAAAATGTTATTCTTCACACTCACCTTGGTCTCATTTGTTTAAACATTTATCTCTCTGCAAAGCACAAAAAGATATGAGTTTCCGGCGTTCTTTTACCTACAGTAAGAGAGAGAGAGGAATTCCCTGCCCTTCTACAAAAGAACTTTCACCACTCCCAGCTCTCCCCATAAACTTCCCAGCTGAATGACCCTACAGGCAACCAGTGAGCACTGCAATCAACAGGCATACCAATAATCTCGTAAGGAAAGAGAACGAGGTTCCAACCTGCAGCTGGCTGAGCAGATTTTCATGTTGGTGCTTTAATTCCAACCATTCCACCTCTGTGAAGCAGGGATCCTCAGAGTGACCCTGTAGGTGATCTTCCTGGCTTTTCAATTCATTAAATCGGGAAGTTAAGTCTTCTGCCTTCTGCAGGAGGTTGACGTAGTTTGTCAGCTGAGCTTGCTTCTCCCACAAACCAGGCTGAAGGGCAAAACCAAGCTCCTGTTGCTGTTTCTCCAGTTCAGTTAGAGCCAGTCTCAGATCTTCTTTGCTTTGCTCATACTGCTCCATGTTGAACTGAGGTTGCTCTTGAGGGCTAGGAAAAAACAGAGCATTTAACAGTATTGAAAAAATTTTTATTCGTTATCTAGAAAATGTCAAATTGTGAACAAGTCAACCACTGGAATGAACTTGAGTATACTGAATATTTTTCTTCAGGTTTTAAATTACTGATCAGCTTCAGCCTGCAATTTTTAAGGTGATGAAAATGAAAAACACTGAAGTTATTGCGGCTGAACTGGACTTAAACACAGGACAAGCAACTAACCCTTTTAAACCTTAAGCTATAAACCCCTAGTTTCCAGCATCTGAGATGTGATGCTCATGCTCTGTATTTTTCCACTTTTCATTACAGCATAAGTTCTGTTTAAAAACTTCAATATGGCTATGAATCTATCTATTTTCCTTGACAACTTCTTATGTCAGTCTCCTGAAAGCAAATGTTCTGTAGAAGAAACAATTTTATTGGTTGAGATGGGGGTAGGGGAGTGTTTTAGAGGTAGACAACAAAACCAGCAGATCCAATACGGGTCATGTTAGCACAATCCAGTGCCCACTTTCCTGACCTTGACATTTTGGATTTTGATTTGTGTGCTTTATAAGCACACATGCTGATCTGCTGCAGGTGAATAGGCTGCATTTGTCCATAAGAAATATGCAACTATGATCAGTGAGACAAAAGTAACATTTGTATGTTCACATTTAGCAATGAAGCACAGATATTTTCCAGATGGAACTTAAATGCCAACATTTGAAAATACGATCTCACACAAACAAATCCAAATAAATAAAGTCTGGTTAAAATTCTGTAAAGTACAGCAGGATAAATAAGCACAAAAGCAAAGCTTAAGTGTTTTGGTTTTTGCCCCTCAACATTCATATTTTTTGGCAAATGACAAATAAAGCACAGTTCCATTGTTTTTACTGAAAGTCAGTTCAAGGACATTACGGCAGGTAAGTATCTTGAAAGCACCTGCACGTGCAAAATCAGAACTTCAGTTCACATTTACACGGCACACCTGGAATAATCTGACATGTTTTAAAGGATCAATTTGGCTCTCAGACATAGTTGCCACAGTGCCAGTGACAATAAAGTGCCTTTGCTGACTTTAACAATACCAGCTTCCACAGCCAAGAAAGCCTCTCGTAGTCAGAATAAACCAGGCTTTAAAATCTCTACTTTAAACATCCCAGCCTCCTGCATTTACTCCAAACTCTCTTTTGAAGCAGTACAAATCAGTGCAAAAGTACATCCCACCTCTGCTGGGGGACCACGCCTGGGGCACAGAGCCCAGATCACATTGCAAGGAAGGGCCATGGCCGTGATTAAGTCAGTGCACCCTCACTGCATAGACTAATGGAACAAGAAGCAATGGGTGTGCATGTTTTGTTGTTTTTTGTTGTGTTTTTTTTTTTCTACAAGAGTGGCTGAGCTACTTCAGTATCAAAAAGGAATCTGAGACAAGCTGCGCAGATCCCATCAGTTGTCCTGTCACTCCCCTTACACCTCCTGGCTACACCCCCCACTCAACCATTCAATCCAAACTGTAATCTATCCCTCCACAACACTGCAGAAATACAAGCATTTTTGTAGGTATCTTGTTCTGTCCCCAAAAAACACAAATTCAACGGAAATGGTGCAAGGAGAAGAAAGCCAACATAGCAGTAAGCGTTCTGTACTATCTCTTGGCAAATTCCACGTTACCTTCTGTACTCAGCAGCTAACCGACAGATGCTTTCCCACT